AAGAAACTGGTTATTTTGAAAGATCTTCAGAAAATCTTAGTGGTTCTCCATCTTTTTAAGAGGCTTCCAATGTAAGCCTTTATACCGATGCACTTGTTTGTTTCCTCCTGCTTGTTCTACTTCAGTTGGTTTAATAAATCAATTGCTATAAAGTAGAAGAATTACTTATGTCATGAATGAATGGCACATAGGAGAAGATGGTAACTTGCATCTGATCTTAAGTAGAGTGGAAGTCTTTTGTAGTGATGGTTAACTGTAGAAAATACATGTGGACACAAAAGTGGAAGCATAAATTAGTTTTAAAATACAATTTACCATAGTTGCTAAGCAGGATATTGCCTACACTGCTTTTCAGAGGAAGGAATAACTTCCTCTGTATATTTTAAGAGTTGCTTCTGCTATAGAGGTATTATGGAATACTGGTTGTGTTGCTCTGCAAACTATCATGTATTTTCAATGGTAGGTATGTGAGCATATTTAAAACAACTTCTGCTTTATTTCAGTTGATGCAATGAAGAGAGTGGAGGAAATAAAGCAAAAACGCCAAGCTAGATTTATTATGAACAGGTGAGGAGAAGTATTAATATTATGGGAACTCTTGCAAATCTGTATTAGCCAGTCAGTGTTTCCAGAGAAATGATAATCAAAAGTTTTAAATGGTGGGTTGCTTTGTTTAGACACAGTCATCCAAGCAGTGGGGTGGAATAGTTTGAGGGGCTCTCATACGCCACCAAATCATTGCTACACTTTCTTGGCTGTAAAACAGTCTTAGATTTAAAGAAATTTCTGGTAAGAGTTGATACAGTACTGGCTTTTTTTTTTGTTTTGTGTCCAGTATATGCTTGAATTCGTTTTCAAATACTTAATTTCCTCATAATCAGAGCTATTTACAGTTTACATACCTTCAGCTAAAGATGTGCCTTGCAGTAGAGCAAAAATGTACATCTTCTCTTTGAAGGTAATGGAATTTAATTTCTCCCCTTCCCAGATTAAAGAAGAGCAAAGAGTTGCAGAAGGCAGAAGACATCAAAGAAGTCAAACAGAATATCCACCTTCTTCGTGCTCCACATGCAGGTAAGAACTTGCTTTACTCGGTTATCTTAAGTAAACTTCTGTACAATTTTATGATGAATTTTTAAATTTTTTTTTATATGACTAATTCTACAGATCAATAATCCTGTGCATTTTACTTGTAATTAATTTGTCTACTGAATATAGAGAATAGCTCTTGCCACTAAATGTAAGCAGTGCCTTTGGTCTGAATCAGACGTAACTTTTTATATAGCCAGTCCTGCATTCATCCTTTCTTTTCCTCATTTGAGTATTTTAAACTGCACTCAATATCTGGGACTCTATGAACCATGTGTTTGTTAACCAATACATTTATCTAAGTCTTCTTTTGAATTGCGTATTTGAACTCTACAGACTAAACTACTGATTGACATAAAATGCAGTAGTTAAACTGCTGTTTGAATTTGTTAGCTAATTGTGAAAGCAGGTGTTACTGTAGTTCACTGCGTATAGTGAAACTTACATGAAAACACTGTTCAGTGTAAGACTAACGGTTTTTAAAGTATCATGGAAATCTTACAAATTTTCACCAAAATCTCTGCCTACTTCAGATAAAATAATGTATATTCTTTGTTAGTGAACTGAGTTTTTCAGATGGAGAAACCTCTTGCTCCTAAATAATTTTCTGTTTTCCAAACTATTACAAGTATTGGCTTGTGTTAGATGATGTTGATAAAATGGATTGTAAATATGATTTATGTTTTAAAACATAGTTAATAGAGTAATGGAAATTTCCCTTAGTTACTGCTTTATAAAAATAACCAGTGGTTTTGTTTCTGTGTTTTTATGTGTCAAATAAGCTTTTGTCAGGATATATTTAAACTTTGGTTCAATCTGTCCCTTGTTTCTTGAGGGAAGAAGGAGAAAATGTAAAAAGATCTGAATTCAGAAGAATAAACCTGTTTTTTTTGTTTGGCTTTGCTTATGTTGAGTGGATGATGCACAGCAATGTGCAGCACATCTGTCAAATTACAGCTACATTTTCAGTGCTTTGCAATTCCTGCAGGGCCTTCAGGAGAGCAGAATCAAATGTCAGCCCTGGATTTTTTTATTTCTGGTAGTATTATGGAGAGCTAACGCAACTGTCATCCAAAACAGCATTCAGTAGGGTTTTAAATCTTTGTATAAAAACTAATGTGTGAAGGCCATTGATCTGTTAAAAGTAATGCATTTTTATAGTTCTTTGCAAGGTTGTGCTAAGAGCTCTATCAAAGTTCACCATAGTAGATGAAAACATATGCTTTTAGATTTTGTATAAAAATAGCGTCAGCTTTTCTGTTAAAACAGTTCTTCAGTAGCTTTAAGTGGCAATGGAGGTTAGCAATAAATACTTGTAAGCTTGATGAGTTAATCCTGCACTCCTAGAATAGATAGGCACATACGTTGTCCAAAGAACAACAGCTACTTGGGTTTAGAGAGACACGTTGAATTTAATGTTTTTCTTTGTTTTGAAGGCACACCAAAACAGCTGGAGGACAAAATGGTGCAGAAGCTACAAGAGGATGTGGCTATGGAAGAAGACTCTTAAAATACTTTTATTTTCTATTTATATCTCTACAGCAGTTAACAGTTCCTTATTGCCTCTCCTGATATCATTCAGAACTGTCCTTCTAGTTGAAGAAAAATACATTTTAATGAAGAGTGGTCATTTACACTTTGGTTTTTGGTTTTATAAAAAAATACACGGGTGCTGTTTTGGGCAGTGCTTATAATACTGTAATTTGAAAACACCTTGTCAGCAGGATGGAGAATAAGGCATATTGTTTGAGATACTATGTGCTCCTTGGAAAGTTACCCTTTCTGGGTAACTTTTCCTAGATAATTCAAGGAATAAAAGACATTGGCCCTGAGTTTTTCTTATTTTGTCTTATTTTATCTGTTCTTTCAGAGTGGTAAAAGCAGGTAAAAATCTTGTCTTAATGGTTACAGGGTAGGGCAGGATGTGCTATTTTCTTCAGTTCAGTGCAGTCTGGACTTATTTTCATTCTTGTCATCTGACATTTCTTCATTTTGTTACGCATGTGTATACTGTTTGTTTTGTTTCCCTTTTAAGTCAGTTTCCCCAGGGTTACATTGCAGTTGACACCTAAGCATGACAAGGCTAACACTGGTATAGGACTTACAGCTGTTTGGAAAACAGTAATGGTTGTAACATCCAGTCTGGAGTTGGACCTGCCATCCTCTTGACCTACCAAAATTCAAATCTGATGTGTAATCAGGCTGACTGTGATGCTCAGTAAATCACAGTTGTGACTGTTTTATCTAACACTCAGGGTTATTCTGATAGAAAACATGATGATGCTAAAGTGTAGATATTTTGCATATTGTGGTGGTATTTATTCAGTGTGTCGTCAGTACTGAGATAAATACTCTTGCTTTTTTAAACTATCAGTGATTTATCTACAATGGTGTGAACAGAGAAGCCTTTCAAAAGCATTTAAAATAGTATTTACTTTCTTGTGAGTGCTAGTTATACTGAAAACCAGTAATTTGGAGTTCCATTGCAAACTGAATATGTGCTATATCAAGCACTGGAAAACTTCATATGTGTTATTTGAAAGAGTCATATTTGAATATAGGAAAAAGGGCAGTGGGTATGTGTGAAATAAACAAGCATTGTATTCATTTTTTCATCTCTTGATTTATGAATTATGGTCACATATCTAGAAGACTGATGTATTTTACTGAGATAAAAATTATTGAATTCTAGTAATAAAAATACGTAATTCATATTTTCATGAAATTAAAATTTTGCTGTCATTTTAACTTTGCTGATAAGGTGATAGCTGAGAAGTATTTTGGATCTGTAATATTCGTACCTCTCCTGTAAACTATAATATAAGTAACATCTCAAACCCATATAGTGAGTTGGCCAGAAAACATAAGTCAGTGGGGTGAAATCACTAAGATGCTACAGTATAAATACAGTGTGTGTGTGTGTATATATATATATATATGCATGCTATATATACACTAAGATGCTTGCACATAGTGAAGGGTGACCTTCACAAATGTTCATTAGTATGTTTATGTGTGACTATACCAGTGAACTCAATATTTCAGCTTGGGAATTTATTTAAAAATACTACTACAGATTTTCTTAATGAGTTTTTAAGATACGATGTGCAGTGTGTGCCAAGTTTTAATTTTCTCTAAGAATAGAAAAGTAAATCCACACAAATCCATTGGATGTTGTGTCATTTTTATATACATCTTCGTATGTTTTTTTAGCACTAAGTAACGTTCGTACATAATATCTGTAGTTCTTCTGACCACGTATCTTTAAATGAGCTGCAATACTTAATTTACTTGTGTGCTCTATAAAGAAGTCTCTGTGGGATTGTTAACCCTTTCCTAGGAAGGTTTGTAACTGAAGCAGTCTTTGTGCAGCAGCTGAATAGAGCCATTTGGGGAGTACAACCATAAATCCTAAGCATCCCGTTGTATGAATTACTTAACCCGTGTACCTCCTTGCAGCCCGTGTAGTAGTGTAATTGCAAGCGTGGGCTTTGGAGATTAATACTGAAGAATATGAGGTGTGCTATTGCTGCTGTTCTCCTGAGCAGCAGAGACTTGCAGCCTGCTGCGTGTGCCTTGTGAGTACACAGGTAGTTGAGTTTAAACACTCGTCATGAGCAGGGTGCTTACAGCACCTCTTCTGGAGGCACCCTTGTGTTGGGGGGGGGGTGTTGTGAGTTAATTGAATCGCTGTGGTGTCCTGTTCTCTTGTCTCTGTGAGCTGGAGCAGGGTGCTGCTGAGACAGCGCACGGCGCGGGGGGCTGAACAACATGGGGTTGGTTATCCTCCGTCCTGCACGTGTCTGCACAACCAGCCGCGGACGTCTTCCTGGAGAGCTGCTGTGCTGAGCGGGCAGGGGTTCCTTCTCGGGGGCTGGCTGTCCAGCCGCATTTCTGATGGGAATTGTTCCTCAGAGGCATTTTGGTGAAGAGCTGTGGTTTCCTTAGCTTGCTTAGGGTCAAAATTTTCAGCTAAGCCAAAGCTGACTGAGAATTCTTTCAGATTTTGTATTTTGTTCACAAGACTTGGAGGGAAAACGTCCCAACGGAACAGTATTCTGGTGGTCATGGAAAATTACTGCCAAACATCAGGAAGTAAACACATTCCTCATTCCACTTGAACAGCTTTAGCTCGGATGCTGGCTTTCAAGGAGCGGGTGGCGGGCAAACAGGAGGCCTCTGTCCATCTCCTGCTTGTGGGGCAGATCAGTGCACAGTCCTTTGGGGAAGCAGGACTTGCCATCAGCTGCCCTAAGAGCAAGTCAGAGAGATGTATTTTATGAGCAGCACATCATTATTCATTAGAGATCTCTCCATCGGTGCCTGTGTCCCAGTCACTGATCCTGCGCATACTGAGCTCTAGTAGGAATGGAGCACAAGGCGCTGTGAGTACAGCCTGTTACAAGACTGGTGATGATGATGTGTCCATTTGAGTCACCATTTAATCAGAGAAATCAGTTATGAATAATTGGTAGTGCTTAATTCTAGTACACAGCCTGTCTTGCTCGGCATTTTCTAGATCCACCAAACGCTGGTTTGTGTTTGTACTTGATGCCATTGGGAGCCTTTCTTCAGAACAAAGTGTGATGGGCTCAATCAGTACAAATGCGATACCCTATTTTAAGAAATGCTTTTTAGTTTCAGTTGCCATCATCGTTTCTTACAAAACCAAAACAGATGTGTTCTTCTGACTGTGCAAAAGGTGGAAACGTGGATTTTAATAGTGATTTATTAACTGACTTTTTGTATTTCCCCTTTTCCTTTGTAATCCATCACTTTAATGATTTCAAGTTAAATGCTGGCTTTGTTTTCAGGAGAAGCTTAACCTTGTGCTAACGCATTTTGCCTCCTGCCTCACTTCCTCCGGCTGCAGGGCCCTGAGAGGTTACAGCACTGCCCCGAGTCCCCACAGGTGCCTTTTGGATCTTTATCAGGTTTTACTCTTTTTTGGTAGGTGATGGTCATCATAACTCTCCAAAACCTGGCAGCCTGGGGTGCTGCGTGTGGAACCGTTCCCGTCACGCCTGGGGAGCCCATGGGCTGGGCCGAGCGGCGCCATCTTAGAAGCGCCGTTTGCTTGAGGCTTTGCGGGACGGTGGCTCAGGGAGGGAGGGAGGGAGGGAAGTGTTCGTGTTCGTGCCTGTGCCACAGAACGCGGAGCAGCAGCCATGTGGTAGGAGCACCAAGGCAGCTGCCTCCGAGGGCGGGCGGGGCGAGCTCCGGAGGGGAAGAGCCCCTGAGGCTGCCCCAGAAGGAGCTGAGCCCACGGAGAGCTCGCACCTGAGCTCACGGTCCTCGCAGGCCCGCGCTTGTGCTGAGGTCGTTTCCGTGTCCTCATACAGGGTAAGAGGTGGAGATGCTGCTTTTTGCCTTTGGTCATGGGTTGGTTTTGCAGTCTTGCACTTGTTGGCTAAGTTGTCTGTGGTGTCTCTTGTTTTCTTGTCAGTTTTTGATCCTGAGAGAACGGCTGTGAAGAATGAAGTGGTGGGTCTGTTGTTTTGCCTGGTTTTGTTCCAAGAAAAAAAGCAGGAGCCTTCTCAGGCTTCCCTTTCAGTCTTTCCTTTGCAAGTGCTGCCTAATACTGTGTGGAACAGGTGAAAATTGCTGCATTCTGTGTAACAAAGTTGTGCAGAACTGGTGCAGATTTTCTCCACAGGAAGCTGGGCCTCCCCATCCGTTTGAAAGATCTGGCTTTCTGGTCTGAGATACTGTGGAGATACTCTTACTCTTTAGAGTAACAACATGATGGGGCCCAGAACACGTACAAGATCTGTCCTCTTGCGACAAAAAGAAACATAAATCAATATGTTGACATGGTCATATGTGTCAATGGCGGGAAAAGCAATATAGGCAGCTGCTAATGGTTCCAAAGGCTTGTGTCCCACGAGATGGTATTTCAGTCTCTGGGCTGTTCAATTCCTCAATTACTGTTCTGGCCTCAAAAATTCAATCTTCTCCAGCCTAAATTATTTATGGGTTGCACTGAACTGCGACCAGGGAGAGCAGAAAGCCAAAATAAATCAACCTCTGATAAAATTGTTTAAGTTTGCTTGTTGTCTGTCTGTGTATTTTTAGATCTCAATTTTAAAAGGCTGTATGCAGAGAAATGCCTAAGTTTTTTTGGGCTTATGATTTTTAACATTGGTATAACTAATAATTAGGTTTTGGTGTTGTTTGCTAAATGCAAGGAAGGTTTTTTTTTTTTCCTGATTGTGACCTAACTGGCCTGATTTTAACCATAGTGTTTTGAACAAGCAGCATTAGTTGAGACCGGGTAGGAACAGAAGGAGAATTAAGGATCTGTGGAGGTAGCTGAGTTGGAAGACATTCTTGCTGGTTTTAATTGTTTGGTGCGGTTTTTCGGTTTGTTTTGGTTTTGATTTAGGGTTGGTTTGGGGTTTTTTTCCTTTTTGTTTGGTTTTGCCACACTTAAGTATTTCATACTGTATTTGGTTTGGTAAAGACACTTTTGTTTCTTAAACTGCTCTTGTTTCACCTTCAGAAAGTACTCAAGAGACCATTTCATCTTGAACATACATACATGGTAATAAAGGTGTGTACTGAGTGAAGGGGGACATCAACTCTAGCTCTACAAGCAGATTGATTTATTAGTGATGTCATTTCAGTACAGGGAACTGACTCCTGAATGGAAATAGATGTGATATTTACAAGGCAAGAATATTGTGCACCCGCAACTTACCACCTGGAATCAAGGCAGGGTTCTCTGTGTAATTGAGAAGAAATTCTTGTTTACGGTTATGTAAACTGTTTCCTGTAAGGCTCCACTGTGCACTAAG